CCAGAAGTTGAAGTTGAAGTCGAGCAGCGAGTCGTGCCCAATGAACTGTTGCCCAGAGTCATCATCCAATCACAATGTCCAATCATTTGTTTAACAAAAACCCCCAAAAACCCCAAGTCCCAATCGAGGCCCAAAGTCAATTCAGATCCAAGCAGTGGCGGCCTTTAAAGTGCCTCCCAAAGATCAAACACAAATCATTCGCTGAGTAATCGCTGCGACAGTAATGAAAATGACTTCCACTTTCGACCTACGGACTTTGGCTTTGGCTTTGGCTTTGGCTTTGGCCGGGGCCAAAAGTTTTACATTTAACTTTTGATTGTAAGTTTGTTGTGGTTGAATGGATGGTTTGTTGGCTCAGGCTCAGGCTAAGGCTAAGGCTAAGGACCTCCCTCTCGAAAAACATCCTGGGGGTAATTTTTTGATTTTTGGCCTGCTGATTTTATATGATTCCTGCAGTCTTTGTTGTTGTGTGCAAATAAATTTCAACCGACTCCATAGGCCCAATTAAATTTCAAGCTAAAATGGAGCCCAAACAGCAGGAGAAACTTTTCGCCCGGCACAACTTTTGTGTAATGAAAACAAATTATGCTTAATAGAAAGTTTCTGGATTGGAAATGGTTTTTAGGTTTTAGTTTTAACAATGAGGAGGCATGCCAGGGATCTACACCTAAAAGTTCTAGTTGGAAATTCCTTTCCACCGCTGGTAACGCGCCAGAGTAATTTCGTTAAGGGGGAAAATCCAAATCCAAATCCAAATGTAACGAAAATTGCAATTTCTGTGGCTCGTTATCGAAGGAAAGGCTTTGCCCCGTTTATTGACTTCATATTTCTTTATTTTGCGGCTGCGTTGCACTTTATGGCTGTAGGGAAGGGGGAGGAGCGGTTTTTTATATGATTTACTTGTCATTCGGTGGCGCTGTTTATGGCTCATGCACGGAGTGGCCGTCGGTACGTGTGTTTGGTTTATAGCGCACACAATCATGCATATATTTTCACAGAGAAAATGAAAGGAAAGGCTGAGAGCCTGGTCGCTGGTACGCACTTTATTAACACACATATATTCCGCGTCGCTCTTGGCGCTCCTCCTGCGAGTACATAAAATATGAATCCCCGCCGCTGGTCGTGCGTCGTACTCCACGGAATTTAATATAAAACGCACAATGATAATATTATAAAATGCTTAAACAGAATATTGAAATGAGCTCAAGGAAACGTTTCACTTTATTGCGAAATTTCGCAAAATATCTGCCATAAGTCGCTTGTCAGCAGAGCGAGAGGGAGGAGGAGGGAGGAGGGAGGGAGGAGCAGAGACACAGACGTGCACTCAGCAGAAGGGTCGAGTCCACTGATGATGTTCCATTCAATCATCTTCGTTTTCCGACTCTTGAATATACAATTGACTTATGAAGATGTGGTGGTGTGTTTGGAGTGTTTTCTGTGTATTTTCCCATGTTTTTTGTGTCCCTGTTTTTTTCCCCTCTGTGTTCAACTGTGACAACACAAACCCTACTCACGCTCTACCTCTCTCTGACAACGGCTTCTGTTACTGCTAGCAAAAGGCTTAGAGAGGAAAGTAGCTGCCAGAGCAACAGGCTGTTGCGTGCAGTGGAGTTCTGCGCTCTCCAGAGGGGCTTCCCAGTCTCAACTTTAATTAACTGCAGTCGCAGGCTGTAAACAAATTTCACAGTTTAATTAAAAATTTCACAGTTCGCGTCGAGCGTTCAAGAAAAAAAGAGTGCTGGGCTGCTGGCGATCAAATGCACAAAGCAAACAAAAAAAGCAACTCCCCCTGCTGCTCCGCCCCTTTCCCTGTAAACAAGCAACAGCGCAATGGGGAAATAACCACGCGAAGGAACGACGGAATGGCATGGAATGAAATGGAATGGGGACGGTGGCCGGCGCTCTGGTGTCACTGGGCTGCGTGTGCCTTTGGCATTGATGATATTTCTGCTGTCCGGGGGTCGTCCCGTCCGTCTCGTTTTCGTTTCGTCCCAACTGAAGCGCTCGCTGGCTACGCAAAGTGTCAATAACAATTTACACTTGAGACGATATCTCAATATTGTTGCACGACAACACACAGCAGAAACAGCAANGCAATCAAACGCATGGCAAGCATGGGGGCAGGGTGTGAAGTGTGAAGTGTGTTGCGCAACAGGAGGACAATGCCACAGGCCACACGATGAGCAGCTGCTGAATGCTGATGACACGGTAACGATGGGCTGCTAGTTTTGTTTATTCAGCCACACGCAGGATGCTCCCCCACAAATTCTGCGCGCTATCTGCTGACCATTTTTCTTGGAGAGCAAACAAACCCTAGGTGGTCCAGGCACACTGCCCGGGAGACTGGGGCACAGATTAGCAGCTGTCAAATGCCTGGCCTCCCTGCTTTAATATTAAAATCAAAGCGGTTGCTGGCACTGTCGTAAAAGGCTCGCTCTCAAGTGGCGCTGTGAAGTGTGCGCCCAAAAATGAAGTTTTTATTTCCGCTGCAATGACAATGAGCAGTCCCCCTGCTCGAGTGTGTTTTGTGTGTGTTAAGGCGTTGCTGGAACAAGATGCTCAACAAATGCTCAAGGGTCACAGAGAGAGTGAGAGAAACTGAAGTGCAAATAGCGCGTATCGCTGTTGGAGTTCTACTGGCTCATTCGCTGCGCAAACACCCAATTCCATTTCGACACTTTTGCCTCAGCTAAGCTTCAAGTGGACACACATTCAGCCAACGGATAAACAAGCTACGCCTTGAGTAGTGTGAAGAGAGTGTTGTAAGAACACAGAGAGAGAGTGTGGAGACTGATCCTGGGTTTGAAAAGGAGTGTAAAACCCGTGGGGGAATAGCTCCCAGGTTATGCGCATTCCTTGGGTATTTATGGCAATTAGCTCTCTGCCAAATGCTAATTGGAAGCCAGCGAGCACTGACCGTACAGCAGAGGGACATTCCTGATAAATTAGCCATGAATATTCAGCGGCGCCCACGCGCCAGCATTATTTTCCGCAAAATTAAATTATACATTTTTAAGTTGTGCGGAAATGAAGCCTCCAAAGCAGCAGGAGCATCCTCATAATTAGCCACTTGAATATTTACCCCATCCTAGAGCTCCTTCTGCTTATGATTATGATGATTTGCAGCCAGCAACCAGGCCAAGCATCTGCGCTGTCCGGTGGCCAGTGCCCAAGTAGCCGTTGGCCAATTTCCTCAAGGATGTCAGGAGCCCTCTCTCTCTCTCTCTCGGCAAATGTATTGCGCAAAACGGCGTGGAATTGCTTTTAAAAACGCATCAAATTATGCTAAAGGGGGAACGTATCCACTCTCAAATGGAGCGGGCCCCTTCAAATTAGTGCACACAAAGCCAGCACGAGTAGCAGAAGGCAGGAGGTTGGAGGCTGCCACTGCTGGCTACTTGGCGTATTTACCAGGCGCTTAACCGACTTTCTGCACGCACGATGCCTGCCCTCCGAGCTGTGCTAGAGAGCGGACTGTGGAGCAGCAAATATATTGGCAATGCCGCTGCTCTACTCTACGGTGGAAAGTGCTCCACAATGGCACTCGTTCAGACAATGTTAAATGCGCGCTCGTTGCGAGAGCTGTCTGTCAACTCGGCTCAAGTGGCTACACAGAGACCAGACCCATGGCCCATGGTGCCAATAGTGGTGCAACTGCTCCCATTCCCTCTCTATCCACTCGATCGATTCCTGGCACAATGCGAACGCGAACGCGGATGCGGAAGCGGAGTGCACTTGTCGCCTTCATTGACATCAATGCGTCGTAGCTGGCTTTTTAGCTGTCGCAGCAGCCGGAGACTGTTGGGTGTGGCATGGAGCACGGGGCCACTGGCCAAACACTTAAACATAATTCGCTGGCATATAACTAATGGGCGTGGCTCGGGGAATTCGGCAGAGAGGGGGAGAGAGAGCGAGCAAGTCGATGGAAAGCCGTCAATCCGTTTCAATCTGCAATCTGCATACAGAGCCAGCCACAGATTTCTTTGTGCGGAAATTGATTGCATATTACGTATACGTAGCAGCAAGTGCGCCACGCACCCACCCACACACACACACACACGCACACGCACGCACAACCTCATCAATAACTAAAGCCGACAGCCGAAGGATTCATTTCAGAGTCAGCGCCCCAACCACGCACCTGCCTCCCAGGATGAACGCAGAGGAGAGCCAGCAAGGCGCTCGCTGAGGTTGTTAGCACGCTCGACTGATATAATATTTTGCTCCCTTTATGAATTATTCGCAAACGCACATTGATTTTGAGCTCAATTCAGTTCAATGCTGCCGCCAAAAGGTAGCTAAAAAAGGAGCAGGAGAGCTGGGGAGCTGGGGAGCAGGCCAAAGGCGTCTTGCTGTGAAATTTTCATTTGGCTTTTATTTACGTTCAATCGAGTTTTCGCGAAATTAGTTAAGTTTAGCGTAAATTTTATTATTGCAGTAGGACGAGGAAGCCAGGAGCAGGCAGGCAGGAGGCTACCATCTTCGAGGAGTAAAGTTCTTGGCTGGAGCAGCAGCAAGGCACAGTCTGAGAGGTAAGAAAACTTCCAATTAAAAGATGTACCCACTGATTGGCTACAGCAAAAGGCCTTTTAATGCTGAGGAAGAAGCCCTAAAGAACATGGAATATAGTTTCAATTTGTTGCATGCATTCGAGTGGCTTTGCCAGAGCTGCAACCAGCAGGGAGGTGGAGCAGAGGTCAGGGGCCATAAATCACATTTCAAATAAATTTTCATAGATATGCGTTGGAGTGACCCCCAACTGTACATTCGACATTGCCATGCGAATGCGAATTTGCAATTTATTTATGGCAGGCAGTTATTATTTTGTGGAGACTGAGATTCTGTTGCTGTTGCTGCAACAGAATTTTGGGCAAAATTTAATTTGTGGCATAGCTGTGCTGGGTGGCAAGTCAGTGCTCGATGCTCGGCATTCGGTATTTGCATTTGAATGAAGTTTGCAACACCCGAAGATGAGCCTGCAGCATGCTGCATGCTGCATGTTGTGTGTGGAATTTTGTTTATTTACCAACATTTTGTCTCTCAAGAGCATAACTCGATTAATTTACCTTTGAGCCGAAGTCCATTGATTGCTATTGATTGACCAATCAAGGCGAAACTCTTTGACTCAATCAAAAACATTTTGCAATTACAATTTATGAGCAGGTCAGGGCAGAGGAGGCGCTCTCTAGTTGCTCCTTATTTTCAGTTGGTTGTAGTTGAATCTGCTTCTGCGTGTGGGTGCTGCCAGGGTGCTGGGAGTGCGCTGTGGTCCACGTTTGCTGTGGGGGAGAGGTGTCAATGAAGAGTTCCAGATTCCTCTCGTTATGTTCCTCACCAGGCGTTGTAGAAGGCGCTGAGATCTGAGTTCTCCTGGCGTCCATCATTGCGTGGATTCATTGGGAACTTTCTGCCCATCTGCCAGTCGCACTGCCCACCCATTTGACGCTCGCACTGCCCACCCATCTGCCAGTCGCAGCTGCCCCTTCCCTTGCAGCCTTTCTGCAGCATCGATCGCAGCTCTTGCGCCCCGCCCTGCTGCATCAACTCCACAAACATATTGGTCATCAGCTCCTCCAGCTCCTGCTCCGGCGTGCGCTTGGCTTGGCTGTGAATGTAGGGATTTACGTAGTGCATCACCTGCTCCACGGTGCGCTCATAGTCCACGGGCAGGCCAGTGCGACGATCCGTGCGAAAGAGTCGCGGCAGCTGCACTTTCTGCTTGGGCTTGCTGCGAACGATCGTCCTGCGCCAGACTTGGCTTTGGGTTTGTGCTTGGACTGGGCTCTTCTTGAACTTTTTGGATGTGAACAGAGTCTTGAGCTGGCTCTGCTGCTTGGGGCTGGACTTCGGCAACTTTTGTGCCTGCTTTTTGCTTCCTGAGGCCGATTTGCCTTTCTTTTTGGGCAGCGCCTTGGTTGGGAGCTGCTTCTTGAGTGCCATATCAGAGCTTGAGTTGATTGAAAACTACAATTTTGTTCATACCGAAAAAAAGGAAATGATTGACACGACGACGACTGAACGTACACTGATGTAAAACTGAATTTAAGGGCTGAGCCAGGCCTACTATGAAATATGTGAAATATGTTGGGAACCTTTTTTGGGTTGCAACTATTTAGCGTACATTTGGGGGTGTGTGTGTGGGGCAAAACATGATTACAATTGCAATTGCAGATTTATGATTTCACACACACACAGAGAGATACAGTGTGTGTGTGTCAGCTGCTGATGTGTGGCCACAGCCAACTTAACTTTTGCAACAATGTAAAATACAATAAGCGCCCAACCACCCACTGCACGTAGTGCATGTAAGAGTGTGTGTTAGTGTGTCTGTGTGCCAGTGCACAAACCGCATTGTTTGAATGCTGCGTTGGCGAACAATGTAAATTGCCAGCACTAGGTACTGCCATACAAATGTATGTAAATATGTATACATATATGTACATATGTATGTTCATATGTACAAATTAAATGCGTTTGGCTGCAGCAGCAGATACGGGCTACGGGCTACGGACTACGGGCTACGGGCAGCCCAACAAAGTTGAAACATTTTGCACCCCTCTGCCCCGCCTCTCGCTCTCTTTCACTCAGTTGAATTGCAAAAGACACAGCAGCAGCAGCAGCAGCAACACAACAAAAGCAATATAATTAATCATCGAAGAGCAGGCCAAGCAGAAACAGCAGCCATGCTGTTTAAGCAACAACAGAGAAGCAAGCGGACTGTAGGCAGCAGTCTAGCTCCTGCAATAGGCGCAGCAGTCAGCATCAAACACACAAAATTGTGTGGATTAGACAGCCAACGGGAAGCTGCTGCTGCTGCTGCTGCTGCACTGCCCCCTGCAGTGTCGTGTGGCAAATATTGTTGCAACATTGCTTACAACATAATTCATATTAGCTGTTTTGCAGCGAGTCAAAGTCGAGGCAGAAATGCTCTCAAAACCATTGAAGCGAGTGCCGCAAAGGGCAATCCTTTGCAGGTCAGCAGTGGCAACTTGCTGGCTCTGGCGCTGGCATGATAGAGGCGTGGCAGAGCTGCAGTGTTGCAGAGTTAGCTGCTAGCTGCAGAGCCAGCCACTCTGTGTATAATCAATTATGAAGCTGCTGCTACCAATGATACCAGAGACTGGAGCCTGGAGACTGCCAACTCCCAGCCAGCTGCAGTCACCAGGGACTCGCACTGTCAGCACTCGTCACCATCCAATCATCGATGGAGCAGACACACACAAACTAGACTCCGAGTGCGGAATGTTCTTATGGTCTTATCCCAGAGCTAAGTTCAATTAGGAGTGGGGGCAGGGGCATGCCCCCACGCGTAATGCGAGTGAACGCAACGTGAAATTGAAAAGCATAAATGTCATTTTCCATAAGAAACGTCAAATTTGATTTTATTCTTTAAAGCAGACAAAGCCAAAGCCCGGCAGCGAGTCGTCAGGGAATTTCTATGGAGCGCCAAGGAAATGACTTTACACCTTCTCACCCCTGGCACCCAGGCACCCCCCGGCTGCACGTGTGTGTGGGCAAAGGAGAGAGAAAGAAATGGATCAAATATAGATTTATGTGTGTTTCATGTCAAAATAAATGGATTTTACATGTTGCCACAAAGCGTTCGATGCGCGCTCGCTGGCTCTGGCTTGGGCTCTGGCTCGGGCTCTGGCTTGTGGCATGCTCCTGTGTGTGGCAAGAACAACAATGGTGACAAACAGCAACAACAATGAAAATATAAGGTGGCATTAAAATGTCATTTCATACTCGTACAAACACACCCGAGCTGCTCCTTTCTTGCTGGAGTTTTTGCCATATTAACTTAATATGTTTGGCCAGGCTTCGCATTGATCCTTTCAGAAATGTTGTAGTTGCAGCCGTACAGGATATTAAAGCCATAAAGTATGAAATATCAGCGTTTAGGTATTGCTACCAGCGAATCAGTTACCCGGCAGCTAGAGACAAATTTTCCCCCACGCCGAAGATTATTCAAATTATTTTCCACTTGCGCTCAGCCAGCGATTCTGACAGCTACGTCAGTTTGCGCTCTCTCTCTCTCTCTCTAAACACACAAAAACTTCCCACCACCTCCCCCTTGTGACACATGATGCCGTGTCATATAATTTATCAAGGAATTTTTAGCATTCAGCGCGCGTCGTGACATTGCCCTGAAAGGCCAACAGCAACAACAGGCGGGGGGCATTCCGTTTCAGTTCCGTTCGGTTCTCCCTTGAGCTTTGTTTTGGCGCTTCGTTCCATTCCCACTGGGAGTGGGCTGCCGACTGCTTGGCTGCTTTTCATTTGTGATAAATATGTGAGGAGCAGAAATCTATCATTTCGCGTGTCGCATAAATAAATACATCAAGAGGTAACATACAAACACACACGTACAGTGGGGTTGCGTGGGGGTTAAAGCGCACAAATTGTTAATCAACAAAAAAACGAGCGAGGAGCTCGCTCGCTGAGGAGTTGGCAATTTGTTTTGTCGTTAAACTTTTTTAGCGTTTCGGTTTTTTTAATGCAAATTGATGATAACGGCAACGGGCAACGCGCTAATGAGTCTATGAACATGTGTAGGAGACAGGAGGAGAGTCCTTACCCCGAAGGATAAATTGTAACAGGAATGGCATGTAACAATCTGCAGACCAAGCCCACACACTCGATCTGCAGCAGTTGGGTTGGGGGGTTTATTCCACAGAGTATACAAATTTAATGAATGTTTTCCTCCCCCTCCATAAATAATCAACGAGCATTCTTTTGGGGCATTTGTGGCTTTTGTTTCACTCGCTTTACACACACCTTCCGTTTCATGTGGGGCTGGCCGCAGTTTTGTTAAACGAAATTTCGTTCAAAGTCCTTCGAAAGAAAAGCTGAGTAAAAGTGTGGAGCTGCAAGGATTCAAGGCTCCTCGCTCGCTCGCTCGCTTACGTGTGCAGTCAATTCCACTCGGCTGCCCATTGAAAAGTTTTGCACTTCGCTGCACAAAGGACAGGGAGGCAAACGCAACATCAAGGGCAGCAGAAGCCGCTGAAGCCGCTCTTGGAGGCGTGGACAGGCGCAGAAAAAAACAAAAAACTAAACACTAAACATCATAATATAACTTTGACATGAATGTTTGTCCTGCTAGAGAAAAGAAAAAGAAAGCAGCGAAGGAACAACGACTTGCCTGCAGAGTGTGTAATAATTTATGTGTGTGACAGGGGATAAAACATTGTTGCAAGAACTTCAACTGCAACTCCAGCTGCAGAAACTTTCGCACTTATTGAACTACAATGAAAATACATTTTTTGCACTGAAATTTCCATGCGTTGCGCAACATTGTTATATTTTTGCGTTATCTGTGGGGCTGTTGACCATGCCGAGGCTGAGTCCATTTCCTTAACTACCAAAACACACAGCAGACGAGCTCTGTGGAGTGCGGCATAACCACCGGACGAAGGACCGACCGTTGACCGCAAAACCAATACGAGTGCCAGGACGATTCGATTTAATGGAAAATCGACCGCAGGAACAGCAACAACTTAAGCGATTCAGAAATTGCCACATATGGAGGCTGACGCTGCACACACACACACAGCTGACACACTTACACACCCGCACGTTGCATTGGGTGGGGTGGTGCGGCCTTTGCGGTGTCACGGGCCACGCAATTAGGGGGCTTAACCACGAGCCAGAAGCTGAGAGGCAGCGAGGCAGCGAGTCAGAGAGCCAGAGGACAGCCTTGAACTGCGCTGCTTTTTGTGCTATCTGCAGCTGAAGTATGTGGCGCCCATTGACGATATATTGGAACTTGAAAGCATTAAACGAACGAGAGAACAGACCAGACCAGAACAGAGGAGAACCCAAAGCCAAACCCAATCGCAACCAGCGCGAATGTCGAAGCAGCCGCAACGACGCGACGCGACGCGACGCGCAATTACGGCGGCAAGCAGCACTCAAAGCAGCAGGCAGGAGGGCAGCTTTAACACTTTTCCATACTACGTACTCTTTGGGGAGTCAAATAGTTGCTGTAGCAGCCCTTGCTCTTCCTGCAGTTGCTGTAATAAAGCCAGAAAAAAACAAAAACTAGGCAGTCCGGCAAGCCGGCAAATCCGTGGGACTTGCCAGTGCGCCCGTGTCGTCGATGCCATCGAAAACAGAAGTTTTACGATTAAGCGCAACGAGAAGCAGAGAGAAGAGAGCTACAAGAGGCCAACGAGTGGTGGTCCGTGTTGGTGGTTCCTGCAAACCAATTCAAGTGTTCCGTGAAATGAGTCGAAAATTGGCATTCGATTTGCAAGACCATTGCACAGAGAGCCGCTCAATCGTATGCTGCTGCTGCTGCTGCTGCTGCTGCGAGGGCGTGGCTTTGGCTCTGGCTCTGCCGGATTAAAGTCCATTTCGTGCCTTAAAGGCGCGCCAAAGTATGCAATTAATTCAGCAATTGCATGTGAAATGCACATAAAACGATGTCCGCTGCGAATTCGCAGAAAAAATGTGCATATTCCAGGCGACAATTAAGCAGGGCAGGGCCGAGCTGGAGCCATGAATTTAACTAAATATGAGCACAATCGATACGGCACTGGGTACCCAGGCCCGTGCATTGTAATCTTCTTCACATCTTCATTTGCATTTCGAATGAGGCAGTCAGGCAGTCGGCTCTTCAATTGCCCAATCGTCCAATCGACACTCTTCAAATTGAGTTGCAGGTGAATCATGGCTGCAGGATCGCTCAAAGGAAGCCAAAGCGGAAGCTCTAAGTGGAGCTGGAAACAGTTTTGCAATTAGACTGAAACAGAGGACAGGCAGGGCAGGGCAGGGCAGGCAGAACAACTTCGCCCGTCATCATAATTATTCACATCTCTGCGACTGGCCCTAATGAGAGTGCCGCAATGCAATGGTTCGGCCTGGGCCCGGGCATGGGCCTGGACTTGGCTGACTCTGCTGTCTCCGTGGTTTTCCCTGGCGCAGCTCATTAAATATTTAATTGCGAAATTAAAAGAATATGCAAGCAGTGCACAAAATGGACACCGCACCAGTCACCCAGGACACTCGCTATCTTCTCCTGTGTCAAC